GGTTTGCAGGAGATAGCGTGAGCTACAGGCCATCGAAAGGTTTGAACCTGATCTCAGCAGCAGCGAAAATATAATTGATTCTGACAGCATGCATAACGGGGCCGCAATCAGTGTATAACTCCAGCACTAGCAGAGCAACTATTCATCATATGACGTACTTTTTTGATGTCGAGTAGGTTGGCAGAGCAAACTGCAGACCACAGGCCAGTCCCGAGGCTGAACCTGATTTCTCCCGCCGATGAATGAAAGATGAATCGAATGGGGTCGCCTCAGGGGGGCGAACTCATTTCAGAACTAAGATTCGGAAGCTAAAGATTATCATTCATTTTTATTGTAAGGTAGGTTGCAGCTGCAGCTGTGGCTGCGGCTGCGGCTTCGGCTGCGGGTGCGGCTGCGGTTGCGGTTGCGGCTGCGGCTGCGTGCGGCTGCGCGGCTGCGCGGTTGCGGCTGCGGCTGCGGTTGCGGCTGTGGTTGTGGCCGCCGAGCTCGACGAGGTCCCCGGCGGTAGCACTGCGCGGAGTAATGCAGCTCTTTTTCTCCGTGTATACCGGCGCCAGTGGACGTCGCCGGTTTGGTGTTGGATTTTCATCACAGAAGGAAAATTATTTAATCGCTTCGCTCATTCCGCCGGCCCATATTGTCGCACCGTTGTGGGTTAGCCGAGTTTTGGGGCCTCTTGGGGGCCGTTTTGGGGCCTCTTGGGGCCTCTTTTGGGCCTCTTGGGCGCCTCTTGGGGCGTCTTGGGGGCCTCTTGGGGGCCTCTTGGGGCCTTTTTGGGGCCTCCTGGGCGCCTTCTGGGGCGGAGGGCTCGATTTTTCAGTTCTCGGTTCCCCTCTTGAGCCCCTCTTGGGCCCGTCTTGGGGCCTCTTGGTCCGTCTTGGGCGGCACTTGGGCCGTCTTGGGGGCCCTCCTGGGCCGTTCCGGGGCCGTCTTGGGAGCCTCGTGGGCCGTCTTGGAGCGGTCTTGGGGGCCTCTTGGGCCGTCTTGGAGCGTCCGGAAGCCGAAAAAGCCAGAACGCAAAAAACATCGAAAAAAACAATGAAAATCAACGATTTTGGCCTCTTGGGGCCCTCTTCGGAGGCCTCTTGGAAGGCCCTTGGGGCGTCTTGGAGGCCTCTTGGGCTGTCTTGGGGCCCTGTTGGGCGTCTTCGGGCGATCTTTGGCCGTCTCGGGGCCCTCTTGGACCGTCTTGGAGGCTTCTTGGGGACCTCTTGGCCCGTCCTGGGGCCCTGTAACAGGGCTCCGGCATCTCTGGCCCGACCTTGCCGGGACCTTGCCGGGGTACTTTTCGTCCGGGGACCCCAGGGGCCGCCCCGCGCGCGCGAACTAGAAATACTGTTAACCAGGTATCGGAGATCTTAGCACGCCCTGGCCCGTTGGGCCGGCGAATTGTTGCTCCCCCCTCCGGTGATTTTGCTGCTTCTGTTGGGTGCTTCTCCCAGGGCTCGCACAGTGTTTTTGAACTGGGAAGGTCACTAGGCTCAAACTGGGCCCTTGTCCCCAGGTTTCAAGCAACAGCGGCTCTCGCCTGAGACTTCCTCACAATTTATTTCCGAATCGCGCTCTCGCGCGGGGCGCCCTCACAATTCATGTGGGCATCGCGTTCTCGCGTGGGTCTTCCTCGCAATTTATTCAGACGATGCGCCCTCGGCGCTCAGGAATCACGCTCTAGGTTTGGCTTCCTCGCGATTTACTGCGGACTCCCTCGATCCCTCGAGACTTCCTCTCGATTGATGCAGGGCCCACGCTTCAGCAACCCGCCTGCTCGACCTGGTCGCCTGGGCCCGCCTTTCAGACCAGCCTGCCGTGGGTGTGCCCACCCGATCTGCCCGTCTTGTTCTTCCACTTGTGTTCTGCTCCTTGTCCTGGTAATTTCTATCGTTTTCCATTTTTCTCACTCCCCCTTCCACCCGCCCCCTCTTCCCTTGCCTTCGGGGCTGCGCTGAATGCGCGTGGCAAGTAAGGAATATCTACCCCCGAGGGTGCACGATAGAAGACGACGAGGGGCTGTGCCGAAGATTTTGGGATATATGTATTGATTGGCACGTGAACAGATAGGAGCGAGCAGTCTTGAACTTTTTGTTGTTGTTGTTGTTGTTGTTGTTGTTGTTGTTGTCAGCGTCGTCGTCGTCATCGTCATTAATGTTGTTGCCGCTATTGTTGTCGCTGTCGATGTCGTTGTTGTTGGTGTTATTGTTGTTCTTGTGGTTGTTGGCTTCTCATTTTTGTGTCATAATCGTTGTTGATCCCCCATCCCCGCTAACCATGGTGTTTTTCAACTGCAGTGCTCCTCCCAGGGCTCGCGCCCTGTGCAAGGGAAAATATGGGGTCACCGAACTACACTGTCGGCCCCCGCTACAGCAACAACGGTTCCCGCCGGACACATCCTCGCAGTCTATTGGAAATCGCGCTCTCGCGCGGGACTTCGCGTGGGACTTCCACGCAATTTATTCAGGCGCCGTGCCCTCAACGCTTAGGAATCGCGCTCTCGCTCTGTTTTTTCTTGCGATTCACGTGGGAATCGCGCTGTCGCTCGAGAATTCCCCACGATTCATGCAATACGCACGCTTCAGCAATCTCCTGCTCGACCTGGCCGCTTGGGCCCGCATTTTCCGACCCGCCCATTAGAGTCTAATCACCCGATCAGCCCGTCTGGTTCTCCCACGTGCTTTTTGCTCCTAGCCCTCCTCCTGCTAGTCCCGTCCTCCATCCATCTTCTCCACCATGCATCAGTCCTCTCTTTCCGTGTTCCAGGGGCTGTGCCACTTATGCGCGCCAGGGAAGATTTCCCCCCAGTGGGTACTATCGAAAACGACAAGCGCGGGGATCCATGGTTTGGGATATACGTTTAGAATGGGACGCAAGCAGGTCAGAACGAACAATATTGGAATGATTGTTGTGAGTGTTGTATTTGTTGTTGTTCTTGCTGCTCTCATGGTTGTTATGATTGTCGTCGTCGTAGTTATTGTTTCTGCTGTTTTTGTCGTCGCCGTTGCCATTGCCGTTGTCGTTGTGTTGAGGTGTGTGTGTGTGTGCTCCTCATCTTCATTTTTTAAATACTGTATATATATATATATATTGGGTTTATGGTTGTTGTCGACGTCGTCGTCATCGTCGTTGTTGCTGTGGTGGTTGTTGTTGTTGTTGTTGTTGTTGTTGTTGTTGTTGTTGTTGTTGTTGTTGTTGTTGTTATTGTTACTGTTGCTTTTGTTTTTGTTGTTGTTTGTTGTTGTTGTGATTCTTGTTGTTGTGGCGGTTGTTCTTGTTGCTGTTGCTGTTGTCGTTGTCGTTGTCGTTGTGGTGGTGGTTGTCGTTGTTGCGGTGGTGATGGTTTTGGTGTTTGGGACATGTTTTCGATCCCCTTGTGGCTGCAACCACAACTCGTCGGGATAAACAACCCGTACCCTGGAGCGTGCATGGATCTCTGGAGACCAACGGCTATCACCACTACTACAGGTATGGGAGGGGGGGGGGGGAGGGGAGGAGGAGAGGAGGAGGAGGAGGAGGGAGGAGAAGAGAAAGAGGAGAGGAGGAGGAGGAGGAAGGAGGGAGGAGGAGGCGGAGGAGGAGGAGGAGGAGGAGGAGGAGGAGGAGGCGCAGGAGGAGGAGGCGGAGGAGGAGGAGGTGGTGGAGGGGGACCTCCTCGTCCTCTACTCTCCTCCCTCTCCTACATCTGGCAGTGGTTGTGGAACGTCTGCCCATCAAAAGCAGGTGGGCTCGACGGGTCGCGTCGCGTCGCCGACGTGGCAGCCTCGACGCTGCGCGACCCGGAGAGCTCGATGTTGTCGACCCCTCTGCGGTACTTTCGGCGGCGCCGACGCCTCGACCGCGTGGCGCGCGACGCGGCGCGACACGCGGCGCCAGGAGTTTGGGCCGCGGGTGCCGCTGGTGCAGGGGCGCTGGTCCGCCCTTCGGCGGCGAGTTGGACGGGTGCGAAACGAGAAAGGGGCGGGCCTTTTTATGTTTGGGCATGTCCCTCTACAGGAGGAGTATGGGTAAATAAACAAAAGATAGTCCAGGGACGATGTGACTATTCTTTTACACGGATTTTTGAGTATTTTTGGACTAGCTTTCAGATTCTCCCAAAATCCGCCTGTTGGAGGACACGCGCGACCTAGGGGAAGCGAGAAGGGGCGGGCCTTCTCAGGAGGCTCGGCAGTCCCTCGGCCTTCTCTGAGGAGTTTTCTGGGCCTTGCCCGAAGACGCGGAAGACTTCTCGGAAGGCGCGAGAGCTTCTGAGAAGTCCCGCCTCCTTCTGAGAAGGCCTTCTCCTTCTCGTCTCCCCGCTTCCGCTTGCCGCCGATCCCTGCGCTCCTCGGTCTTCTGCTCATCCCTCTGCTCCCTCCTCCGTGTGTTCGCTCGTTCACAAGGTCTCCGGCGCACGGAGACTGGTGCGCACACTTGGCAGGTGTACGCTACGCCTGCTCTCCCCGCAGAACGCCGTGTCCGTCTGGCGCTTTTGCCTGCGCTGACAGGGGTCCGTGGGACGAGGGCCCGCGCCTGCTTTGTCGGCTTCCTGCTGCTGCCCCTCCTGAGCGTGATGCCTCAGTGCTGCTGGCTCTGCTGTCCACCAGAGATAAGCAGTTCGAAGAGGAAGGAACAAGGAACGCCATAGGCATACACTCTAGGCGATGCTTAAGAAAACCCAAGGTTTCGGCCAGAGTCTCGATGATTCTTAATGTTTCAATGTAAATCCTGAGATTTTAATCGACATTTTGAGTTTTTGTTCGAATTCTGAGACTATGAATTTCTTAACCCATGATTTCTAAAGCATTTCGCAGGGTGCAATCTTTCTGAGCTCCGCGCGGATTTCTTAGATCGACGCTGTGCCCCTTGGCGGAGTCTGCTGCGCCGTCCCGCGGAGCGCTCCGCGCGACAGGGAGGGTGGCCCAGCGCCGTTCCAAGAAATCCGCGTGGACCTCCGAGAATGTATTCTTAAGCAGTTTTTTGTTCCCCTAGTGTTGTCCAGCAGGGATGAGGAAGGGACGGTTCGTGCGGGAGTAAATGGCTCAGACACCGTATTTTTTCATGCCACGGTGCGGCCACAAGGCGCGCAACCAGGACGACGTGCTTCTGCTATTCAGAATCTTCTCGTGCTTCCTTTTGGTGCTTCATTTCACATCTTCGAGGGGCAGCCATCCGTATCTGCCTTCGTGGTCACGCGGAAGCAACCTTGTGTGCAGTCCAATGGCTCTTGCCTCTCTCATGGCCCCTTCTCTTACACAGGATGTTCCTCACGGTGTTGCGGCCACCCTCCTGCGCCTCCCCTTCCCCTGATGGGTCCGCATTCCATCGTATGCTTTAGGCGCAATCAGAGTTTGAATGCATCTGATGGCGACGTGGACAGTCTTGTACTGTGAACCAGCGCGCGCGATGCTGTAGTAGGAGGTGGAGTAGGCGTAGGAGGAGGAGGAGGGGGAGGAGGAGTAGGAGGAGGAGGAGGAGTAGGAGGAGGAGGAGGAGGATTCAGAGACAAGTAGAGGAACTCCTTCACTCATCGCTGCCCCCCGCCGCCCCCTCCCTACCTTCTCCTCCTGACATCCCCCGCTTTTGGCCCTCCAGGGCCCAGACCTTCACCACTCGCCCCCCCCACCCCCCCCGGCACCTCATGGCGCTCCCTGGGATCTCGGTGTTGCACGATCCCCCAGTTGTGTGGCCCTGACCACATTTCTGAGGCCACCCCAGCAATGGTGACGTACACAGGCTTTTGACGGCCAGGGAATTCACGCGCCGAACTTTTCCGCAGTTCTTGGTGTCCAGATGCCCGTTCCAGGCCCTGGGACCATACATACATCGGTTCGGGGTGACACGCCAGTCCCAGGGAAGGGGTCTGTAGCTCCCGATTCGAGCCAGCCGACTCGTCGGAGGTGTGGGTACGGCCAGGTCAGGCCAACCCGATCCTGACCACGCCAGTCCTGGGTGCAGGCTTCTCTCGGCCAGCATCGGAATAGGTTGAGATGGTGGCTTCGTCCGTCTCGGCTCGGCGGCATCGCGTGCATGGGCGTTCACGATTAAACCCCAAGCATTCCGTGAAGACTCTTGACCCAGTTCGCCTTGTCGAAATGGAGTTCCCCTCCGTTGCTACTGGGGGCGTCCTTTCTGGGCTCCTTGTTCGCGTTATCCACTTGAAGTTGTGATCCCCCTTGCTGGGGGGCATCTTCATCCGCGTATCTAGGCGTATACGCTCTTTGTGGGGCTCCCTGCTCGTCTTAGATCCACATGAGGTCGTGGCCCGTCTTGCTGGGGGGCATTATCATCTACGTATCTGGGCGTATACGCTCTTTGGGGGGCTCCCTGCTCGTCTTCTGCGTATCTGGGCGCACACGCTCTTTTTCGGGCTCCCGGCTCGTCTTGGATCCACATGAGGCCGTGGCCCCCCTTGCTGGGGGTATTTTCATCTACGTATCTGGGCGCACGCTCTTTTTGGGGTTCTCGGCTCGTCTTAGTTCCAAGCGAGGTCGTTGCCTCCCTTGCTGGGGGTATCTTCATCTACGTATCTGGGCGCACACGCTCTTTTTCGGGCTCCCGGCTCGTCTTGGATCCACATGAGGCCGTGGCCACCCTTGCTGGGGGGTATCTTCATCTACGTATCTGGGCGCACACGCTGTTTGGGGGGCTACCGGCTCGTCTTGGGTCCAAACGAGGTCGTTGCCCCCCTTGTTGGGGGGTATTTTCATCTACGTATCTGGGCGCACACGCTCTTTGGGGGGCTTCCGGCTCGTCTTGGATCCAAATGAGGTCGTGGCCCCCCTTACTTTTGGGTGGCGGAGGTTTTTCCAGATCGAGTAGCCCACGCGGTGGCAGAAGCCAAACCCCGCCGACGAACCTGCGGTGTCGTTGCTGCCTCTGGCCCTGACACCCTGTGCGCTGGGTGCAGGAGTTCTCAGCAATGCTGTCCCTGGGCTTTCTTTTGAAGCCCCCCAGGCTGCATTTTTCCAGGGCTGGTCCTAAACGTTGTTTTGCTGGATTTCGGCCGTGTTTTGCTTTTTTCGTTTTTGGCAGGGAGGTACAGGAAAACAGGTAGGGCAAAACGCGCAACAAAACGAAACCAAGACGATAGACAACGTTAAGTTCCAGCCCAGGGGCTTAGACCTTGAGCCCCGGGGCTTAGACCTTGAGCCTCGGGGCTCAAGGTTTCGAGCCTAGGGGCTTAGAGCTTGAGCCCCGGGGCTTAGACCTTGAGCCCCAGGGGCTTAGACCTTGAGCCCTTTCGAGCCCAGGGGCGTAGACCTTGAGCCCCGGGGCTCAAGGCTTCGCTTCCGGGGGACCGGAGCGTGAGCCTGCCGACCCCTCGGGGTGCCGCTGGCGCCGCTCCTGTCCGGAGGAAAAGAAACACACAGACACAATGAATCCTCGATTCCCCAGAAAATATGGGAAAATATGGGAAGTGGGGGGGAAGACAGAAACCCAGAAAATATGGGGAAATGTGGGGAATGTGTTCATTTGTGTGTATTTATTTGTGTGTCCTGGGGCCCTTCATCCTGGGTACCCGCCCAGAGGGTGCTCCGGGGCGGCCGTCAGAGCGTCCTGTGCAGCTGCAGGCGGCTGGTGCCGCTGCCCTGGTCAGAGGCGACGATCTAGGGGCGAATGGCCCGGGGGAGAGCAACACATGTACTCAGGTGCGCCGGTGATCCACGTCTTCGAAGAGGCTCCCAGGCGAATGCGTGTAATGCCCGCCCCTGGGCTGTTCGCCCCTATCGCCGCCGCCGATCTGGGGTGGCGCCTGCTCGGGGAGAGCACCCGGAACCGTGGCGTGCGATAAGTGGTGTGCAGGGGCTCGGAAGAGTCGTCAGACGCGGCACTCTTTTGCCGCCTCGGGCCGTGGTGTCTCTGCCGCGTTCGTCGTTGTCTTCCTCCTTACTCCAAATCCCTGATTAATCGACCCCCCCTAAAAAAAAACCAGACCCCCCTCCAAATGCGACCCAATATTCCAGACCCCCTTCTTCGACGGGGCGTCTTAATAAACCGGACCCCCTAAGCTCCAATGCAAAGAAAGCGCCCTAATAAGCCGGACCCCTCCAGTTGCAAAAAAGGCGCCTTACAAAACCGGACCTGGATGACGATGAGTAAGGGATTCGGGGTATCTCGCCCTTCTGCATCCTCTCCAGGGGCCTCTCGGGGGCCTCTCGGGGGCATCTCGGGGTTCTCTAATCCGTAAGGGCTTCGCCCCCTATGCCGCCGGCCCCCCTCCCTTAGAATGGGACTTGCCAGAGCTGTGCTGGGATGTCTGGACGCTGACTTGAAGCAATGTCGGGACTTCACGCGAGGGCCAATATTAAGTTACGAGGGTTTACGGCTTGCGTGGCGCGAATGCGAGGTAATTTGCAATGGTTATGGCTTCGGGTACGCGAATATGGTGTGATTTACGAAGGTGTGTGGCCTCGGGGACGCAATCATTGTATCATTTACAAGGGCTTCTGGCTTCGGGGGCGCAAGTATCGTGTAAATTGGGAGGATCAATGGCCTCGGGGACGCGAGCATTGTGGAATTTGCGAGGGTGTGTGGCCTCGGGGACGCAAGTACGGTGTAATTTACGAGTGTTTATGGCCTTTGGGACGCGAATATGGTGTAATTTTCAAAATGGTTTTCGGCTTTGCGAATATTTTTAATTTACGAGGGATAATGGATTCGGGGACGCGAATATAGGTAATTTCCATAGGTTCATGGCCTCGGGGACGCGAATACGGTGTTATTTACTAGGGATTATTGCGTCGGGGACGCGAACATATGTATTCTTATGTACCCCTCGCCCCCCAAGGAAGTCAGACAACGCGATCTGGGCGTGGTAAAAGAGCTGGTTTGGGGCTCCCCCCCCTCGCGCGTTCAGCAGCAATTAACAATAAGGAAGCAGAAAGCAGGAATGTAACAGTGGAAACTGGAAACTACAACTGGAACAGGGAGCTGCAATCCTCATCCTCGCAGCCTGGTGGCTCCGCAAGGGGGCCGGCGGATGAAGGGCGTCTTCGGGGACTCGGGGCCTTGGGGTGTCTCCTTGGGCTGTAGGAAGGCGCTCTTAGGCAGTCTGGCGCCTTCGGAGTCCGTCTGGGGGGCTTCTCTGGGCCTCGGGGCCATATGGAAGGCCTTTGGGGCGGTCCTGGGGCTTCCTGGGCCATATGGAAACCCTTCGGGGCGGTCTTGGGGAGGAGGAGGAGGAGGAGGAGAAGGAGGAGGAGGAGGTGGAGGAGGAGGAGGAGGAGGAGGGGAGGAGGAGAGAGGACGAGGAGGACAGAGGAGGAGGAGGAGGAGCAGGAGGAGGGGGAGGAGGGGAGGGAGGAGGGAGGGAGGAGGGGGGAGGAGGAGGAGTGAGGAGGAGAGGAGGGAGGAGGAGGGAGGGAGGGAGGGAGGGGCTCGAAGCTCGAAAAGGTCTGGCCTCCGTGGGCCCGCTGGCTGGTCCTCTTGGAGCCCTCTTGGGCAGTACCAGGGGCCTCTTGTGCTCTCTCGATGCGGGTTCTGTTCCGTGTTGGGGCCCTCTTTGGCCATCTTTGGCTATCTTGGAGATATCTTGGGCCTTCTTGGCGTCCGTCATGGCCTTCCTTGGCCGTCTTGGAAGTGGTCTTGTGCATCCTGGGAGCATTCGAGAGCGCCAGAGAGGCGTCGATGCATGCGCGTGAGTGCGATGAGAGGAAGTGAGAGCGCCCCCAAATTCGGCGGCGAGCGAGGGGGGGGATGAACAGGAGAAGGCCTTCTCAGAAGGCGCCGGGGCTTCTCAGAAGCCCTCTGGCCTTCTGAGAGGTTTTCCGTGCCTTGGGGGAAGGCTCAGACAACTTCTCAGAAGGCCGGAGGCCTTCCGCGCCTTCCGAGAAGGCCCGCGCCCTCTCCCTTCCCCCCCTGGGCGCGCCGCCGATGTCAGCAACCCTGACAGGCAGCACTTGGCATTATACCCCACGCCTCGCCGTGCCATGGGGCACGGTGGCAGATCGCCCCTGGGGCCCGACCCGGCCTCGATCCGCCCCTGGGGCCCTTCCCAGGAGGTCGTCGGAGGCCTCGAGAGGTTCTCCTGCCCTCGGGCCTCCCGATGTCGTGCTCTGTCCGTGCGGGGTCCCGGGAGGCCCCGGTCCCTTCCGAGC